TAATGTTGACCCTAATGTTGACCCTAATGTTGATTCTCTTTGAATTTGGGCACTAGTCAATCTATGGCTAGATTATATTCTTCTTACCAATTAACTCTCTTTTTTCAAGAACTAAAATGTCTAACTTAACCCTCTATGGACTAGCTCTGTGAGTAATGGAGAATTTGACGAGTGAAGACCCTGGCGCCGGGTTTGAATTTTAGTGTATATATGTCTCTCTCTCTCTCATACCGTTGTTGTCACGATCGACATGGCCAGTAAAGGAGCCCTAACTGCCGTAGATAACCCGCTTAGCGTTTCTAGTAGATATCGATTCCATCTATCCAGTATGAAAACAACTCAAAAACTGACGAAGCCGCTGCTAGTTATACTGTACCTCTGCCTTGCAAACAGATGGAAACCAAACTCTATCGGATGCCCTCACAATCGCCCATGAGCTCAACATACTTTTCACCCAACATGGAATTCTCGTCAATGTCTTCCTCATATAGATCAAGAAGAGTGTTGTAGCTACCCATGCTCGGGATCTCAATGGCCACTGGGTTCAGGCACAGCTTATTTCTTGGTCCTTCCCGCCATCGCATGGCCAACAGTGCAGGAGAATCTCTGTCACGGCGACACTTGAACGGCATCGTGACTCTAAACGCCAATGCAGGAGAATTCCGTAAGCAATCCCTCGTCGCGATCAGATATTGTTTCAAGTCATCCAGAGCGACATCCAGCGAAGCAGTCTTCACCCGGCAGTGTACTCTCCCGTACTTTTGCCGAGCTGGAACAGCCGCATTTGCCTGTGGTTCTGACCGGCGACTGATCTGTGTGATGCATTCCGAAATCACAGATAGAGTAGTTATCTTGTCTTTATCTCGCTCCTCGTTGTGGAGAATGTCAATCTCAATTCTAGCATAGCTCTGCGCCCACGGGTATGGTTTCACTTCTACTGGACGCGGGATGAGTTGCGTGCGTGTCAAAAGCCCCATGACTATGAGATGTCTTGAGACTATGAGACTCATTTGCCTACCGGGCAGATGGAGCGAAATAGAAAACGGCGCGTGGCGGTGATAAGGGTACACACGGCGCTGGCCTTAAAGCAGGCCTTCCCACCCTCGCACTACCATGATCATCTATTCCACTGCAACCCTCAGGTACCTATCTCCCTCAATTGAAACTAGTGATCATATAACATGATGATTCAAAGGATAATTGCTTGATGAAGTTCAGTCGGTTTCTGTTTACTCGCGCACTACAGAATCATAGGACGCTACGATGCGCCAATTCGAAGTAACGATTCGATCATATGATGCAGTACGCTGTGACAGCCCGAACAAGCAGTTTCTAGCATGTGCGGAAGCTGCTCTGTGGGAGAAAAGAAGCATCAATGGTCCCAAACTTGCACACTGGTTTTACAAACAACCCTTAGACGAGGCGACTTAGTCCCACTGAGATGTACCGCATAATCCGAGGAGGCTAAAGGTTGTGCTATCATTCTTATACATATAGAGTAGTTATATTTGGGCTCTTTCTTTTGAAGTATGGTCAGAAAGACCACCAAGTTGGTTAACATGAGTCGCCTATGTATGACATATAGCTAGTGTTGTTTGAGGGCCCATTATGCTGTTAACAGAGATATGTCCCAGTACAAGGATAAAGGTCAATACACGGCAGTCGCTGAAGTAGAAGCCCGGTGGACTGCAGCTACTGGGATGTTAGTTACAGTCGGTCTCGAAATCACCCTGACCTTCTACCACATGACAGTTGTTTCCTAGCCCCACTGCCAAAAACTTAGTTTAAGAGCTATAATTCCCCAATTGCCTATAAATGAGGGCAGCCGTAACTTTCCTGTTAAAAAACAGTTACACCCGCCCTCACTGGGTAAATACAAATTTCAAGCCAGAGTCTTGACAGTAGGGCTAGAAGACAATTGTTATATGTGAGAAGATCAAAGCGATTTCGAGATCGACTGTAAACCTGACCAACCTACATAATCGACAATGAAAGCATCCTCTTCGTTGAACCGGTTCAGTGGGTTCACTTGGCTGTGCGAGAGAGACAGGTTGTCAATCCATCTGTCTATCTCAGCTAGGTTCCAAATACGAGGTGTGAGTCTTCTCGTGGGATAGCTACCGGTGACGGATGTTAGCTTTGTTGTGATGGCATGTCTTGTGCGCCGGTACCTGCGCTGGCACAGAAGCCTTGCGACAGCCTTGTACCCAATGCCCTTAGAGGAAAGGTAGACGGCGACAATCAACTCAGGGTTGGTCCAGGCGGCGGTTAGTGATATGGCCATGGTCCGAGTACGTTGGCCTTCCGTGACCGAATTCCGGGCATGTTTAACCTGATAGGATGCCACAGTACTGGGCATAAGAGCGAAAGAAGATTCTGATGGGTGATTGACTATGGCAAATAGTACAGTAAAGCAGCCCGTAGGCCTATTTCCTTGATTGGCCGGCCTAGTATGGTTTGCGATACCTGTGCATGGGTCCGCCAGCCGGTTATCTAAAGGTATTATTGGACTGTGCTGATCGTTGAATGATAGTGCCCACTTGTAAACTTGACCGGGGTATTGCCTGAGAACTCTTTCACGTTCGGATCTCCCTTGATTAGCAGGCGTCACCAGGCTGGGCATGCCTGCCTCTGTTATACGAGGAGTGGAAATTCAGGATGGGGTGACTATTCATGCTGAATCGCTTAGTTCAAATCCCAAAATGTGATGGTATGCTGGGGATCTGGTGAAGATCAAGATGGCCGGGGATACCTCCGTACAGTTGCCTAGGATCAGCATCTAAAGAAAGCTGGCAGGGATTGTATCCGACCGTAGATCCGACTTGGATAACAAAGGAAATACCTTTAAAACTTGGTTACACGGCAGTTTCTTTGTTTGGAGCTCGCCTCCGGTGTGCCCAATACCTCATTACAGGCGTTGCTGTCCTCATACTTTCCCTGTGCACAGAGTGCGATCTGTGTCTGGCTACATTTCATTCAACAGCGACCTACTACGTCGTGTCTGCCTTTGATCATTGAAGCAGAGAAATGGCTATACCTAGGCAACCCCCGGGGCTGGTGGGGAAAAGGATGCGCGGCTCCAAGGATAAACGCAACAGCCATATGACGCTGCCGTGCCCTTTGAGCGAACTGGCCCTCGATTTGCCCTGGATCGAAGTGAAAGACATGGAAAAGTGGGTTCGTAGGCCCATTCCCGTCCGCCACAAAGAAGCCAAGAATAAGCACGGCAGGGTTAAACGGCCCATGAACGCCTTCCTGCTCTACCGGGCCACTTACACTGAGCTGGCCCTGTGGTGGCTAGAGCAAAACAGCTACGAGTTGGTATCCATGGTGGTTGGTCAGAGCTGGAACATGGAGGCTGAGAATGTCAAAGACAAATACAGAGCCTTGGCAAGTCTCGAGAAGCAAAACCACATAAAAGCCCACCCTCAATACAGGTTCCGACCGAGGACGGGGCATAGGAGCAGTGCCTCGAGTAATCGGCCTAACAATACGACAGGCCCGCAGGAGGCAGACTGTGTGTGGACTGGTGAGACACAGTCTTCCGATTTAAACACAGCAATCCCCGAAATCAAACGGAATCCACGTGAGCTGCCTCATAGTCTCGAACAAGCGCTCCCGTCAGATCTTGTCAACACCGGGATGAACTTTGATCAAGCTGAAGAACAACTGGCTAGATCCGAAATCCCCATTCCTTTCTTCGAGTCTGTGGGCTGCGTCTGCACGAGGTCCTCTGTGCCCACCATGCCTTCTCTACCTGGGTGCGCCGCCGAACCCTGGCCTCAATCTGATACCACCGAACTCAGCAGCCTTTCTCCAATCGCAGCCCTACACCAGCACACGATAGTGATGCCAGAGATTATGTATCATCCTGATGAGCCATCCCTGTTCTCTTCCCCGGCAAACTCCGGTTGCGACAGGCTTTCTCGGGGAGACACGCCATGGACGTATGAATACCTAGGGTATCCACAATCACCATGCAGCCTCTTAGATCAGACAGACTCGCAATGAATATAAATGGATTTCTAATAAAAAGAAAAACAAAGCGCAGCTGTAACCCATTCGCCAATAGCCTTCTGTCGGTGAGAAAGACAATCTCACTTATAACCATCATAACAAGGACAGTAAAGATAACGGTGCAGTGACAAACGGGCGATTTCTTGAACACATCACGAGGAAGGTTAATTGGTTTCCCACTGGGACATCCTAGAAAAACCCAAGAGCTTCATTCAATTACCACTTCCACACTTCTGCGATTGTCGAACGATGTCTATCTAACTAACACTTGTTTGTGGTCATGTACTCTCCAGCCATAGAATAGCCAGAATCGATACACGGACTCAGTGGCCAGCACTCCATGGCTCACAGCCCTAGCCTTCACTATCAAGAACATCAGGCATCATCTCCATTGCTGCCGCATCCGAGTCAACTGCTTCCCAGACGGTTTCTGAGTGTCGCTCCGCTAGTGCCGCCTCGTCCTCCCGTCTGGCGCGAGATGTGTCAAATTCTTCCAGGAAACCAGGCCCAGAGCTCTCCGTGACATATATAATGTATTCTGACAGCCCCCCAAGGATCAGCCATCTTGTGAGCATGTCCAAGGCGCGAAACAATCGCACAGTGCCTGGCCGCGAGTAAACGGCATATGTAGCCAGAGCGTCAATCTCAATATTGGTGAAGCTGCTGTTTCTCCTACAAACGGGGTCATTAGCTGGGAATTAAATGTATCCGGTTGCGGAGAGCATCACATCTTTCTGAATAGATCATTTCCACAACCTAGCAACAGGCCAACGCCGAGAGCGCACGGTAATTTCCAACACCATCTGCCGCATCGGACCTGATCATGAAACGTATCGCGGCGACGTTTCTGCTCCTGCCTATCACCGGCACCTCCGTAGACCTCCTGGATAATGGAATCCAGCACCAGTGTTTCACAGAGCCCATTCCCTCTACCGGGCCACAAGCAGTACTTCTCGGGCTGGTGGCACATATCTGTGTAGTTCAGATAGAGCAGTGTCTGCGCGGCGCATTTGGCAATCGGGTCATGGACCTGTCGGAATCGAGCTGGGTAAAATACTCGGCCGCTGCTCTTATGCCTTTCCATCGCGTGGGGATTCCACGTGCATGGGAATGTTGCGATTGATTTCTCTGCCAGTCGTTTGGACGAGATCCCCAAATGTCGGTCAGGTCATGGGTCAGCAGGACAGCGGCCGCATCGAGAACTTTCCAAATCCTGTGGTCACCAAGCAATTCGTTACCCCGGAAGCGACAATTTTTCAGCAGAGTATAAGTTATCCGCTCAGTGGTGTCTGCAGGTCGGGCTTTTCCGATTCGACTGCGCTTGTGAGAGGTGTCACGGCTCCCATCGGCCGGTCTTGTACGCCGTGTAAGCCTAGCCGAAGGTATTTGCGCGCTCTGAACGCTAATTGGTGGTGAAGTGTCACTGTGGAGAGGAGTGATGCAAGCGGAGAAGTCATGAACATTTGTACGACATGCGGCGATGCTGACGGCGTCCCCTGTTGCACGTGGGCTTGTACATACAGCGGTGTCCGGACCACTGCCTCTCGTTTGATGAAGCGAAAAACCCCGAAGTGGGGCTGGGGGCTCCGTACTCGACAGTGAAGAAATGTCTGGAGACGTCACATCCCCAAATTCGATCCAGTTTCCTAGCTCCATTGTTTCTAGACCGGTCGCGAACGTTTGTTTCCAGAGGTCCAGGGCATCGAGATTGCTGTCTGACGTCCCAGCAGCAGGCGGTGTCTGGCAGGGGATCTTGCATTGCGCCTTCAGATCAGTTAAGCAAGGCACCCTCTGCTAATGCTCGGTTCTGACATTTAGGTCGACCGACCGGTATTGCATCCTTCTTTCTAAGGTTACCTCGGGGGTCATGCGCCATCTCGAGCCCGAAGTGTTCGATAAAACCGGCATGCTTGACTTTTTCGATTATAGAGATGATCTCGTCGTTGTCCAAAAAGGCTATGGTCTAGAATTTCTCGCTGAGAGACCTAATGAACTGGGTTGACACTTAGTCCTTCGTAAGAATGGTCTCAATGACACCTTACACCGCGACTTCTAGCCTTTGATTGTTGAAATTTGGCCTCATCAGAGTCTGCATGTGGATTCTGCTATAAGGGATCGTTAGCCAGCGACGAAGAGACGGCAATGACAAGTCTACTTTGACGTCTACTGCCAGCGAAAGCATCCTGATCGTATAACCGACTGGAGCATCCCGGACAATATCAAGATCTGTCCAGGTAGCATCATGGAAATGCGAGCGACAGGCGTGGCTGGGAAGTATATTCTTCGAGAGAAGAAACGCTCCCCAGGTAGGATGGAAGATACCCTGCGCGCAGGTGGGTACAGTACGGCTGGGCAAGTCTTACTTCAACATGTGACACCGTATGTGCAAATCCCATGGCCAATATGTCGTATGTACATAGGTAATGTGTCCAGAATTGGTTGGGCTTTGTATGGGCCATTAAGGATAGCCCGACCAAACCGGTACTTCCCTGGGCATCTATCCAGGAATTTCTAGTACCAACTCTTTGGCCAAGGGTATATGATTGGTATAGAACGCTGCTAATCCCCGTAGTTCGGAAAGAAACTATCTATATAACGCTAGGAACCGCTCGTCTGTCTATGCCAGCTTTATCTGCGCATTTTCTAGCCATGGTTCAAAAGTCTCACTGGGCAAGGAAACGTCGGTCAGACAGCGCTCGAGCAAAGACTCAACAACGAGCCAGACGTCGGCGCAGCGTTTTTAAAAAGGCGGCCGAATATGCACTTGAGTGTGAATCCGATATCCTAGTGGTTATTCAAAGTAAAACCAATGGCCACATCCATACTTTCAATTCGTCAGACATGGGACGGTGGCTGGCAACACTATCGAGATTGGTAGGTGCTGCAACTTGGGTATCTATTGTACGAGGTATACAATCCCTAACGTTGGCAGGACGGATGTTATCCAGCTCCATCAGCCACGACGGTCCATGACATCTTTTCCAATAGCAAATTTTGTGCTGAGTTTGGGGACAGCAAAAGGGCTTGACTAGAGGATAATTGTGGGGGATGAAATCACCCAGGAATGGGCACGCTAGATTAAGTATACTTCACGGTACACTACGCTTCTGCCGACTTTAAGGAGCATCTTTAAGCATAGATGGTCAATGAAAGTTAGCCAAGTTGGAATTGCACTACAATCTACATTTACAAGTAGGGCAGAAAGAATAATATCAGGACGGACTAGAGGCGCTGTAAATGTAAAGCTTTCCGATGATGATATAATTCGTCAAATTGATTCACGTAAAGGCAAACGAGCGAAAACGTATTCTAGCACAGCTCTAATGTATGTTTATCGCCAGTTAACACTGTCGGCTTCTTGGGCCCATTGCTGCATCCTCCCCTTCAGGTAAGACATATCTTTCTCTATAATTTTACCTGAGCTGCTGGTATTGGCCGCATATTCTTCAGCCATGGCGTGCATGAGCTTCTGAAGCATTTGCCCTCGCTTGCTATCTGGCTGGCTACGGGTGAGCCTCTGCGCTTGCGCAAACATCGCTGGCATGTAATATAGAATGACCGCCACTCCGTCTCCGTCGCCATCGCCATCAACGTTTAATCCACTAGTTAGTTGCTGCTTTATGCCGTCGGAAAGCTTATTAAACGCCTGTTCGAATAGTTGAGCCGATTTCTGGTCGGTGACCCTGCCCATTGCGCAAAGGCGGAGCAGCACCCGATCGTTGGCGTTGTCCACTGAGAGGTGTCGAACGCCGGCAGCTGCTAGTATCTCAGCTCGATGTTGCAGAACCCCGTTGTATGCCGCTTTGACAGAACTTGCGCCATCCACAACATCTTTGAGCAAAGGGAGAGTGTCCAAAAGCGATTGACAGACCGGTTGTGTCATGCAAATAGCGCCTTCAGCACCCACATGGCCACTGGCCCCGCTGACATCGAATATGACCTCAAGACACTTCAGCCTGAAAGCCCGCTCTGGCCACTGGAAAATTCCTAGCAAGCTTCCGGGGACGGACTCTCCCTGTACCAACTGTGGAATATTCAGTACCGCGCCCAGCTGGATGCCTAAGATCACATCCCCGGCCGCCTGAGACAGTAGTCGTAACGGCTCGGAAAACAGTCCCGAGTCAACTGCCCGGTGTAGGACATGATCGTGATTCGCGTTTTCTAGATCGCGGTCCTTCATCTCATTCTTCAATTCGGGATCTTTGCCCATGTCGCTCAGGACAAGTAGCACGATGACAGCCAGTATGTCATCCGCACCTTTTAACGACTCACGCACCATGTTGCGCAACCTTGTAAAGGTGACCCGGGAAAGCCTGTTTTCGGATTGGTTTCTCGTAAAGACGCCATGGTTGTTCTCCGATAGCCATTTCAAGGCCAAAAAACCGACCACCGTCCGATTCACCTCACAAAACTCTTCTTGAAACAGGAAGCTCGACGGGGTAAGGCATTCCGCAGTAAGGCTTCCTCTAGGGGAGATATTGGCCTTCTCTGGATGCTCACCGGCTCTCTTCAATCGATTAATTTCGGGTTTGAACTGTTCATGCAACAGGCGCACGGCTTCTTCGTCCGGGAAGGGCTGCAATCCGCAGGATCCCTCGTCTCGACGCAGTACGAGTGCTATCCATCTCAGAAGTGGCTGAAGGGGTATGTTGTGGTCCGCCATGATGGTTGTGTTGCTGCGATAGAAGCTGGGTATGGGCTGTGAGCCAACAGTCGAGGTGGATTATAGGGTTTATATAGAAACCTGCATAGCCCTGTCCCACGCCCTGCGCCTCCTGAGATCCATCACACTCCCCGGAGTACGCCGTTGCCCAGCTTGTTTTACCCAGTTCCTTCTACCTGGACTTTCCGTCTGGTCATCACGTCAGACTGATTGTGACTTGAAATACGACACACGGGCATAACATAAGATTCTAGGATCAGGGAATGTGGCTTGGTTCCTATTGCTGAAGCATATCTTTGTGATATGATTTATTGATGGTAGGGTAGCAATTAGGCTGCAAATAACGGGTTACACCAGATAATATATTGGCTACAATAACGATATAGCTGTGAATGTTGCGACTGGCAGAATGTTAGCGGAACGATAATATTAGGGGGATCATAATATCGAGATTCCTCGGTGTTAGCATGGTAACGCCGATTAACCGCCATCTACAAAGTAGTGAACACAGACATACCCATTGTGTTGTATCTGTCTTCACCAGCCTTTTTTGACTGGTTGGGTTTAGCGCCCCTGAAAACCCATCTAAACTTAACACGCCAAGCCTGATCTGCTGACGGTAGCTCGATTCCACAGGTTGGTTTCCGACAATACGGAACTATGTAGTTCCGCAACCGAGAGGGCCTGACTTCCTGAGGCAAATCTGGCCAACCGGAGCGACGAATAGTAGCTGCTTCACCCTCCCCCAAATACCTGTAAGAGAACCATAAGTTACCAGTGAGGACCGCATATTTTTAACTTAATGGCAGCTTGGCCTCAAGGAGGTTTGAGAAGAGGAACGTTAACAATCAAGCTGGGGGGCTATTAGTACGTTCCCAGTATAAATTCAGTTTCTTAGTTCACTTGCCTCTGAAGCGTCTGCAAAACGGATTAAAACAACAATCATAATAACGTGGCACTCCCTAGATGGGAAAAGCGTTTAGGTTTATACATAGCACAACGTGTGCGACAGTAACTTCTAGGTCACAGCCAAACAACGAACCATTCCATCAAGCAACAGCCATGGCACATCGGCAACAGTCTTGTGACCTGGGCGAGCTCAACGAACGCTATCTGGAGATGCTGGTGGAGGTAGATAATATGTGGTGGGTTTATAACGTCGCTGCCAGTGCCGCGCATTGGGTCCTTCTGGCAGGCTACCTCGTGGTTCCTGGGACATTTACCTCCTTAGAGAAGTCAGACGAGGTTAAGGCAACTCTTGAAGGTAATAGAGCGGGCGAGGCTATCCTGGGAACGATCCAAAACCCGCCACTCCTGGTGATTTCCTGTCTTTCTTTTGCCGCTGGCGTGCTACTATTCATATGGCTGGGATGGGAGATGAGATATAATTATATTTGGCTCGTCAGCCGGATTTTTATGTAAGGCATCGGATCGGGTGTGGGGTGATCAGCTTGGCAGCTAACTGGAGCCAGGCCCGCTGCCATGAATGCTGCCGCGGGGTTGCTGACAACGATGGTCAATATATACACCGCGCGAGGAGGAGACTGGTCAGTTATGGCCCTTGCCACAACTATTGTGACGGGTGTCACATTGACTACGTCGGGCGCGCTAGTGATGATCTACAAGCTGATAAAACTGGCGACCCTGAAAGAGGCCCCTATACCTGCTCCCTGCTTAGATCTCCCACCGCCGGCTGATGAGCGACATGGGCCAGCTCCATCATTAGAGAAGGGCTAGCGCCGTGAGTTGGAACCAAACCCGACCCATGGCAAGGCCTACCTGTATAGCATCCATATTGTAGAGGTACGGCCAATTTTATATATCGGCAAAGGATTCCAGCCTGGTGGCCTTACGTGGCTCACATTGACTAGTGGAGATACACAGCCTAGATAATCAACAAAGAAACCATTCATTCATGGTTGCATAAATCACTCCCAGCCAAGGAACCTCTCCATGAGGGTCGACTAGGTGTGAACCATATGTACGATCGATCTATACTCGTACTGTTTAAACTCGTGCACGTCAACTCTTATTCGTTCTTCTACCAAGTTGTGTTCTAGTGTACTAGGTTCACTTAATACGGATGACGCAACGAATGAGTCTCCCTCCCCGGCCTTCGATCCGTCAAACCTGGTTGGCAATAGTCGTGTGTGAATCAGCGGTGTCAAGACGGGTTACATCCCGGCAGTCTGCCACATCAGATCCGGAAACTAGCCAGCCGGCGGTGCGTTCCACCAGATCATCTGTCATTTCTTTACAGCGACAGAGGATCGACACCGATTCCTCCACCACATCCTGTCTTTCCTCGGCCGTCAAAAGACTGCCAGCTTCATTGGCTCGGGACTTGAACTGGTCGCGAAAGGTAGAGTCATCACTGACAGACCAGAAGGATAACGGCTCGGGGAAAGATGTGATGTCCTCATCGTCGGATAGCCCCCAAAATCCGGGGCCCGCTTTGAGAAGCTGGCGACGGATGAAGTGGCCGCCATTGAACAGGGCTGAATAAAGGACCCAGGCATACGCGAGCAGCTTGTGTGGTGCGTTCATGATACGACGGCGGATGTCCTCGTATGTTTTGCCATGCGGCCGGTCCGCAACAAGACGGGCAGTCACCGGATCCGAGCGCAGCCGTTTGATGTCTGCCTTGAGTCTCGCGGTTCGAGGGAGTCCTTCCACGCGGAGGAGCGTGCACAGTGTTGCTATTCTCGCGCTGTATCCAGGATCATCCATATGGCGGGGGCCTCCGATGGTGCCCGGCCCGTATTCGGCGTTCGTGAGCGCCGTCCACGCTGCTTCGAAGCCAAGGTACATCTCTGTATAACACGAGAACCCCAATGCGTAGAGGGGCCGGGACCTCCTCTCGCCGATCAAGCAGCCACGGATGTGGTCGGAGTTCATCCGGTTTACCGCACTATGCGGTACTCTATGATTGTCATTATAGTTCATCGATATTGTATACATTCCAATAGTCCTCGCACACTCACCGAATCGCTTCTCTAATACTTTCAGTGATGCTAGCCATTGCAATCGTCGATGTCCTTGAAAAGGAATTCAAAAAACTGCGGCTGGTACTTATAGTGGATAGCTTCCACAGCCGAGCTATGTGCATATTTGGCTGTAGTCGAGGCTCTTGTCGCTAAAGACCAATTGACCACGGAACCCACCATTGTGCGTCCCTGACCGACATGACAGTCGTGTAATGCTCTTGGGCTAGATAGGAGTCGCGGGCAAAATAAGACTGGGTTAAGGACCCCAGCTGCCATCGAACTCCATGTCTAAGACCTGAAAGTATGATCACCGAGAGCCATGAAACTCGAATGTCGCGATGGGTTGGGCGAGGCAGCATGGTAATTGCCCGGATGGGCATCTGTAGGTGAGCGAGTCCAGGTGAATAGGACAGGGTGAAGATGATGAGTAGTTAAATGGTTGGGTCGGTGATGACGTGATGGTGGATCGAGTCTCCGGGCAAAAACTGTAAGGGGACCACCTGGGCAAAAATAAATGGAATTATGACACCTAGATGCTTGCCAAGCTTTTTCCACACGCACGATGCTCAATTAATTGTAGGGTAATTAATTACTTCCTGTTGAGTGTTTAGACGTGAAGATGAACGATGCCCCATACTCAACATTTAGCCCGCTTCCCCTGCCGGCTTAAACAACCGTCTGGCCGGCAAGGGTGTTCAATTGGAGATGAGATGACTCGTACATGCTGAGCGTACAACGAGGCAGGTATTAGGTGATGGGATTGTGAGCTCTGGCGATGACGTCCGATGCATTCCTACTTAAGGAAGGCAAGGAAAGGCATACAAGACCAGCTTGTTTCCGATGTCCAGTATCCTTCAAGCCAAGCCCCTATATCCAGTTCGCGCGAAACTCAAGTGTGAAAAACACGTTTGATAGGCTCTCGTATGTCTCGCCCAGGAAGGCTTGCCGCGTTACTCTTAGCCAGTCGCTTTGCCTCGTTCTGTCCAGTTGGTTTGGTTCTGTTGTCGCACTACTTGGTATTCTATAAAGGGCATGACTGGGTTACCTGAGCTCACACTTTGCCGGTTGTCTGTTAAGGAATCGCTTGGATCATCATTGATCTAAGGGCCAGCGCATACCCTGGCCAATGATAAACTTGCTGGGGTGGTGAAAACGGTGATTCGGCCATGATCTATGATCGGGCTTCTCGGATTGGCCGTGATAACCACCCGTTCACCCCAACAGACGTTCAACCCGGGGAAGCGACTGAATCGATAAAAGAAATGGGCGCCTGCCTGCCTTCTCCACCTGGATATGTTTATCTTCACGGAGCGACGTCATCCACCACCCCGTCAACAATCATTGGGCGTATCCTGTCGATCAATATTGCACTCTAATGGCTATCAGGAAGTAGTATCTAGTCCGACCAAAGGCCAGCAAAAGAGTATCAATCTTCGCCAAGTTGTTGAGCCAGCTTGAAAACCTATTCAAGTTGATCAACGGGCATACCAGCGACATACGCTATTCAAAGGACCAGCCAAGTGAACCTGGGCATGTTTATATGGCATAATATAGATAATCATTGGAGTACTACAATAGCAGCATGCGTCCAATTTGGCTGCTCCACTAAGCCCGGGCAAAATCCTGGGCAAAAGAGTGATTTGACGGCATTCAACTCTACTCTACTATACACGATCATGAGCTGCGTATTAAAGTTATTAAAGTTGAATTTCGACTCTTATGACTATGTCTGGTGTTTCTGTAAGGCAATACAAGTCTATTGAAGCTAATCAATCTCCACATTCACAGTGCTAGTGTCTATAGAAGAAATATGAGATTTATATGTACAGTTGATCCTGAAATCGCTCTGATTTTCTCACATATAACAATTGTTTTCTAGATCCACTGCCAAGACCTTGGCTTGAAATTTATATTTATCTAGTGAGGGCGGATGTACCTATTTTTAATAGGGAAGTTACGGCTGCCCTCATTATCGGCAATTAGAGAATTATAGCTCTTAAACTAATTTCTTGGCAGTGGGGCTAAGAAACAACTGTCATGTGTTTGAAGGTCAGACCGATTTCGAGAATCACTGTACCATATGAACGCAGTATGACTACATACATGCAGTTCCAACGAATCCCGCTCCTCCAGGTCTTGCAAGATTCTCAATCATACACAGTAGCCGCTTCCTGCCTCCTTCACACACGTTTGGTCGGGCCCACACTCTGCTGCAATCTGCCAGTTTCCCTCTCCGTTGCAGACCTCCACGACCCAAGTGTTATTGCGGTAGCAGTTATACGTTGCTGGGGTGCACCCAGTCGGCTCAGGTATAGTCGCCTGCGAGAAAGCGGATAAGCCCATAGCGGCGGTAAGGAGTATGTGAATTTTGCTGAGGTATTGCATCGTGCACGGGGAAACTGGGTCGACAAGCCGTTACCATACAAAGCTCATTTAAACAATGAAAGGCTTCTTGTGTACCAGCAAGTACATACCGATTAGCTATATTCTTGATTTGTGCTTGCGCTAGTAGGTAATACCGGGAACGAAATGACTATACTAAAGCATGCCAGAGACAAGTTCCAGTGATCGGCCTGATAGAGCCGTCAGAAGGCATTTGGCTAGATATTAATACCTTTTGAGTTCCCTGTGGGCATAGGACGAGCGGTTAAGCATGCCGGCGAGTGGCCTTTGGTAGGTCTACCATTTTGCCCTGCTATGTGTATCATGTACTTTTCGTTGGTGATCGGCACATTTCCATTCATTTGGTTATCTCCTTACTGGGCAGTAAAAGCACTCATACTCCTAGTATTTTGTGGCTCTCTCACTGGACAACTGGATTGTGAGCATGTCTCCTTGGTCAAGTTAACCCTCACGTGATGTTGCTGAGCATGAATGACCACCCAGGGTAAATTCGAGACCATTTTTAACCACCCCAGTGATCTACCATTCCATTTAATATTACGACCAACCCTTAAGTCTCATCAGGCATCCATGACCTCCCTGAGCTGCATTATCGTTATGATTCATTGTTATTTTACTCGAATCCATCACATGCCGAGCAGCCGGCGATCGAGAGTCAAGCATACTTTAATCTGGTTGGCCCGTGCTATGCAGTACTTCTTTGGTTCAAGTGGTACTATACCCTATATCCTTTGTACTTCTACTACAAAACATTGCCCTTGCAAGTTGCGTCGGCAAGCTTAGGGACAATGATATTCGGTGTTTACTATGCTGTAGGACAGTCAATCAAGTGGCAAAAGAAAACCAAGTGCTAGACCGTCGAGGTATACAGTGTCATATTTTATCTACGAGACTGCTTACTTACATACCTATTCGACCCCTCTCACCTCCCACCCGTCTCAGCATTATCCGCCCTTGAGCCCTACTTAGCCACGGTCAATCCATTGTAAAACGGCAGCTGGCCCGAAATGTGATGAAACGGGAGCGGAACGGTCTTTTGTAGCCGATCGTGTCATGCGGCTAGTATTTGCTGCAGGTGGACTCTGTGCACGTGGTTAGTGACGTATGTGGCATGTGACCAATTGCTTTGCTTGATGTAATAGGGCTGGCATTAAAGAGTGTATAAAAATGAAATTGAAAGAGTAAACAATAATGACTACATAGGCTACTGTGGCTGGGGGTAGCTCATTGTAGGAGGTTGCTGATACGCAAGATTTGTACATTGCTCTTGGACTTCCTTCTCGTGTTGAATCAATACACAACACGAGCAGCACCAGGCCTGTAGGCAATCACCACATACTCCTCCACTAAGGTGGTAACGTTGGCGCAAACTAGTTCGTTTGCGTGCGAGAATTAGACAGTGGAGGCCACAGCTCTGGGTTAGGGTGTAAAGACAGCACTAGAAGAAATACATATGAGCGCTCATGCTAATATTGCGATACGAACAGGATAGAGAAAGACCTCGGGGAAGTACATCACTGTTGAGATAAGTATGCTCCTGCAGAGCTGGGTCATCGAGGCGGGACTGGGTTTTGCCGTACAGGAAGCAGGGGCAACAACACCCTAAGAGACCTTATTTTGGCACTTGTCAGTAGAGGTCTAGGTAGAGGGTATGAGATCCGACTGGTATGTACATATTCTCGTGGGAGAGCAACACCCCCATATTGAATGGGACCACTTGTTGTGCTGGTCAGAGGAACTAGACTGTGAAGCGCCCATGATTTATTTGGCAGATACCGAGTATGAGTAACGTCGGCCTGGATTAAATATATTTTTTGTCTTGTCGATATAGAATAGAAAAGCTTCTCGTGATGAGCAACATTGCCACTGGAATACAGTAAATTGTTAAGCCTTCGTGCCATCAGATCAATGTTGACCAAATGGGCGAATGCGTGACGCTCTGTAGTCGAGGAAATGATAGGGGGGGAACTGGCCATTTTTCAATAGTTGATATACAGTAGGACAGCTTAACTGATTTCAGAAGTATACTTCTCAGTCGTTATAAAAGCCGGTCAAGTTAGCGGTTGCTTGCCCCATGTAAAACTGAACGCTACTTAAACCATTGCCCGGGTTTCGGTCATTCGAACTATAGTTGGATGAGAAGTCGGGTTAAGACTACGGTTTCTGATGTTGTAGGGGTCGTCAAAAAGTTGCACCATAACAGTCATTGCCCGGCATTTTAGGTACCATGGCGGATTATGCTCGGCTTTCTCTAACTCGCCAATCATGGTAGACATGCACATTGCTTATGGAATCTACCATTTCAGAATCCAGTAATGTGGCGGTGCAACGCAGTGTATCTGGTTTGTTTCTAGTGTATCAAATGTCTCTGTATTACGATGTTTTCGTACAGAACAACACCCTATTAGCGAGGAGACCTAGATGTCCTCTTATATATCTACTGGAAAATGTATATACCCCATGTTTGACTCTGATTAAACGTTCATTATCTCACCAATGTAGTATGAATTGATAATTGAGTGATGGTTTATAATAATATATGGCAAGTACATATGCTCTTATGTATTGTTCGTGGTGTCATGACCTGCGAGCGGTTTATAGAAAGACTACCGAGCACCTCACGGCTTTGATCTTGATTTACTGGTCAATGTCTTGAGGTCACGTCGTATCGCATATACATGTCTACTTTACAAAGGCTCTGCTCGGAACTCAGAGCTGCGCTAACTGTTAACCTATTAGGTGGCTTCCTATGAAGGGCGCACGACTGCAGATGAAATGCTTAAGTTATATCAAGGTATCTTTGTGTCGTATCGCAGAGTCATGCAAGAGGAAGGTGTAGCGAGGGAGGTTCCTTAATATACAATTCATCGAGACTGGCTCAGACTACTCAGCCCTCCGCTCCGTGATCTATCTGAGCTACTCAGGGTGTGGTCAGACCAACTCAGTGAGCAAATAGGGGCGAGGTTGAGTCAAGCCTAGGGGCTAACTGGTGGTCTTTGAGCACACATACAAGGAAGTTATATATTCTAGCAGGACCAAGTGCTCTCCTCGACTCTTTGAGCAGCAGATTTGCGACCTGCAATGTCCTTTTACAGTACACATATCTTCGCAATAATAAGCCCTAGAGGCTGATGTATCATGGCAAGATAAAGTTTGGAGGCATAGTCAGGCTGAGTATGGGCTCTAATAAATTAGGCAAGGATTATATCGGAGTTCCTAATATGGCATTGAGAACCGAACAGGCTGGTTCCAAAAACGGCATTCTGCATCTCGTTTCGTATCCAGACTCATCAAAAGTCGAGCGTCAAAGTCCATACAGTTGTAAGTTCTTAGCCAGAACGGCTAAGTCCTATTAGGTGGTGTAAACCTATCTGACCCCGGTAATGGTTATGTACAAGAGGACCATCTCCACTTAATACTTATTCTATTTCAGAATGTCGCGCGTAGCAGGGTATCGCTATAGTTAAGGAAACGAATAAAAATGCCTGTTTGATAAGATATCTGGACAACTAGCAAGGGTCTATTGCACTACTGTACTATACTAGGGATAGTACAAAAAAAAATCAGAGCTTAGCTACTTAGGCTTAGCGGCATGCTCATAGCAGCTTAAAAGTATTATGCTTATGTTTGATGTATAGTAACTAAACCAATGTATTCAGATGATTACGTACAAATCGATCTTGTAATTTTTTTTGGTCTTGGTGTAAGGCCAGTCGCTCTTTATTGGAATCAAGCGGTTTTTAAAAGCTTCGTTGGATTATACGCGTAATAAATAGAACATCCTATTCCATCTCAGTGATACAGCTGTGTCCTGTTCTTATTAGCCAATGCTTATAAGCTACATAAAACCAGATACTCAGTCCTAGCTTAACAGATATTTGTTTGGTGCTGAATAAAAGGTACGTACTACCAACTATTCTAAAACAATGAAGAAGGGTTTGTATAACCAGCATATATCAATCCGCTGATATAAGCTCTGTTAAGATCAAGATAACTGTCTGTATCACTGAAAAATATGGTTTCAACAAGAGTCTTGGGATCACCAATCCAGATGTCTTTACCCGAGGCTAATGATCGCGCCGCCCTCCCTGAGACGCCGACTGGCTTTATAGGACCGCTAGGGTTTGTCAAACATGGTAACCCGTTCACAATGGACCGCCTCTTCGTTGGCCTAGAGCCTGCTTGGGGTGGTGTTGACGCCATCGAGTTCACTGAAGATATGCCTGTCTCTTTTGTGACTAGGGTTAATAGAAGTCAACATGATATACCATTAGACCGCCTCAGAGAAACCTCACACAGGCACTTATTTAACCTCAAGGAAGTGTTTGTAACGGAGCAATCGCTATTCCTTTTTTATGCGGAGTGGGAGGGCATTTCACTAAAAGAGATCCAGACTTTACGACCAGCATTTCAACTTGGAGAAGTTGAAGTGGCTACGATCTGCTACCAGGTACAATAGTTAACCCTACCTCTAGTGGAAAGTTCTGGCTGACTACAAAACAGATATTCCAAGGCCTGAGATACATCCACGATACTCTTGATATCAGTCACGGTGATATCCGAGAAGAGAATATTTACATCCATAAAAACGGCGACGTTAAGATTGGTATATCTTACTATCCTACAACATCTCTATTTCAACTACCAGGTCTTAGCAAGAATCGGTGAGAGTATGGGCCGGGAGTTAAATAATGAAGAAAGATCAAGAGATATCAAAGCAACCTTACGAGTCGTGCGAAAACTTCTAGGCCTACAATCAAATGCTGGGGGTCGCGGAACCATGGGATTACTGGCCCATGATTTTACTCAGCCCAAAAATTTACCAACCACTCAGGATCAAAAGACATCAGAGTCACAGCCAGCTGTTTTGAGACTGCCAAATAATGAAGACTAGAGCGGAGTCGCTATCGTACGCACTTACTGGAACTATCAGCTTCAGCCATTTGAGAAGTTGTTAACTCGTGCCTAACCAGCCTGAATGAGGTCAAGCGTTGGCGGGTATAAATTAGGAACCAACGCTTTGATTGTACCGCAAGAAATGTTGCCTAGGCATGTGGTTAATGGACGGAATAAACATGGAGTTTATCTATTAACATAAAGTCTTGTAATCAAAAGAAAATAACAACAGTCTAGATAATACACGGTGTCCGGAAACTGGTGTCTCCATTGTCACTCTTTGATGGTCTCAACAGACCTATAGTAAAACAACACTAAGCAAGTTTGGGATACTCATTCGGAGAATAGTTCCTCCTGTATGTATCGTAAAATACAAATGGGTACTATAACCAGTATAATTTACCGGATGACTACCTCACACTTTCCTCCGTTGGAGATTCTCTCTGGTCCAGGCACAACCTGACGATGCAGTCACCTTGTCAGTGGCAAGACTATGGAATGTAGGTTGGTTCGCAAGCTGCTTCAACCTACCTTGGGCTTGTGTTTTACGAAATGGCTCTCTGGACCGTCTCCCAGCGCTGTTGTATATTTTGGCAGAAAAGATTTTCTCTTCCTATTGGCCATCCTCAGCCTCTTAGACTTTCATGAACGCGGCTTCCGTCCAGAGGATGTCCATTTCTAAGCGACCTCAGTTCCTTTGTCGACAAATGTATAGCCGTAAGCATCTAGGGTAATGCCAAACAGAGAGCCTTGTAATCCTTTTCTACCTATAGGACAGCAACAGTGACCAGGATCAAGGTTTAGTTGTTCGCTTACTATAGAGCAGCAAAATAAGTCACCCATAAGAACACCGGAGGTTAGAGCACAAAAATGAACACTTCCCCTTACCACATAAGTCGTAAACCTGTAATAGTGCCCATATGAATGCAGTTGTTTGTGACCATTGTGCAGAAATAATCTTTCACATAATCTCAAGCAACTCGTATATTGTTATCTGGGTAGGCTAATATGGTAGGCGTCACTGGCCACACGGACCGGGCAATTCTGCTGCCTTCCTGCAAGTAACCAAAAGAGGAAACGGGTAGTTTACTAGTCAGATTATATATGGATGACTTCTAAGAGTTAAGTGCGGGGTATGAGTGACGACTGCGGTACTACTAGCTTTTTAGCTCTACCATTATATATCTGAGATTGACCGCCCACTGACATGGAAAGTGGCGATAACCAAAACCTTATACAATGGATGTGGACAATTTGACCGAGGCGATGAATGCCGCCCATTTGCATGATGTACATGATGGGCGAGGAGTCTTACCCTTCTGTCCCCCAACGAACGCCTCAAGAATGCTGAAGGCGCTGAACAACATTCCAACCTTTTTATTCCGCATTGCATCCCCATACTCTGACGGAGAGACAAAAGAAACATGGGTGCGCTCAGAATCATCAAAGAGAGGGAATACTTCATCTCTCGAAGATATTTTCCATGGCTTGAATGACACGAAGAGAAGAATTGTAGCGCAAACGCTCAACAAGCACCTTAGATGGTGGCCAAAGGAAGATCTGGAAGATAATTTCATATCATGGACAAGTTCACTTCTCTTTGCGCTTCAGTACATTAACTATCTTCATCTGAGCAGCAACTGCAGACCAAACCTAGAAGAGATCAACCTGTACGTTGTAGATACAACGCTGTTCCCTGGCGGCACGTTTGCTCGAGATTTAGACCTTATCCAAGAATTCGAATTATTTGATAACCATCCGCCCGGTAGTGACCTGAGGCGTCTGTCGGAGCTCCGAACGCAGACTAGCCACTATTTTGGAGAATATTTGTCGCAGGGTTGTATGGAAATGGCTGACAGATGTCAAGTGATCTCTGCGACGTTACTCATGAATGATGGTAGAGTGAGCCAGATACAACCTCAATTTAAGGATATAGCGACTCTGCGGCGGATGAACGAAAAACCAGGATGGCCAACGGAGGTAAAACGTCTTCGCCAAGTTGTCTGGTTAAGTTGCAAACTACAGCGATTAACAGCCCAGGAATCAATCAGTCGCATCAGTGCGGTTGAGGAAATAATAAAGGACCTCGATTCCGAATGGAAATTACCCCTAGCTATATATTTTATGGCTTTGATTGGGCCAGAACTTGAGATAGAAGATCAAGAAACGACTGCCGATAATAGTTTCTTTGAATATCTAAGATCGTGCAACGCCTCCGGTTAGTGGCCATTTGTGGTTTTGACATCCGTCTTCATTCATCACCTGCATAACTGACAGCCTGAGAATTTAGGGGAAAAGCGAAAAGATCTGTCGACGTTCAAACTCAACGCACCCGGAACTATGCCTGAACTGAAGAGGGTCGAAGTCTTGATTTACCAAGTTCAGAAGTATATTCGGCTCAAAAAGGAACTAGGTATGCATTTTGCCTCATGTAGATAGCTTGTACACTACTGACACAGTTGGATAGATTCTATAGAAGGAGTAGAGGGAATTCTTCGAGATTTTCTTATCAGATCTGAATTCCCTGGACCCGAGGGCTCTCTCTCTGTTACTGATGCTAATCCAACTCTAGCGGAGTCTGGTAATAGACTGTTGTCGAAACTTGGGACAATAAAAACCTTGTGCGATAAGATTGTAGATAATATCTCAGGGGTGGACAAAGCAAAGGCTTGACTTTCATGATGTGGGCTTGTCCATGTGATGACACAGGAAATTGTTTGTACCGATTGGCAGATTGATTGCTTCATTAGCCACGAATCAGGTATTTCCGTAGTAGGGTATTAGTCAGGTGTATTAAGCAAACTAAGCCGAATAGCCAGGATGTTTGAAACAATTTGTCATTAGCAGTTGCCCAGAAGTGTCTTAGCCAAATAAGAGGGACTATATTCCAAGCACACTACCTCCTGTTTACTAAATTTGCAGTGTTATCGAGTCCAAAACATTGAATAAAGATAAACTTCCTGTTACAATACGATTGTACTTTCTTGGGCAGTATTCGAGGAATAGTGCAGCCAATCTTAGCTATCCTATTCCTTCGAAGCTCCTTTTCTCTAGTATTTATTGTCAGGATCAAACAATTCTCCTACCTTGGTAGCCAAGGTATGGAAACTTATCTTAACTAAATTTGAGAGGTTGATGCTAGTATAGAGGGAGGCTTTATAGTACTGCTCTCCATGTTGCCTCTTCTAGAAACCACTTACAAGTATGTACTACTATCTTTCCCGTCAAGGGGGGCGTGGTCGTTCTTCCCACAGTCAGGATGCGCATGGATTCGCCGGTTCTGGGCAACGCCAGCGACTGCGCACGCGGTGTACGTCCTGGGCATGGCGTTGGAACGCCATTCGATGCAACAAGACAACCTCACACCACTCACATTTGAATGATCCTTTGTCTAGGTGAATGGCGTCAAAGTGTCTTGTTACACATCCGCCATCATAGAACTTTTTAAAGCGAATGTCATCAGGCTGCTTCTCATCCGCAAAACATTGAAAGCAATGCCGAGGTTGTTTCGACTCCTGAATGTGCTCTTTGATCATACGTAATCGCTCATCGCGTGTAGAATCAGGTGCGCCACCTCGGTCGAAGCTGTTTTGGGCTCTGTGCCCTTTATGGGGCTGAGAGCTGGGACTATCCGATGCAGCAGAGTCGGAAGCCTTACGCTTGGGACGGCCCCTCCGTGGACCTCCTTCAAAGACACCACAGTACTGCGCGACTGCGTCGGCACCTGTATCGCGCCGATTCCACTCATCCTCTAGTGAGTTCGATATTGGATATGAAACAAGACATTGTACCAGATACAACTGGAGAGGGTGCATGTTGTCTTCCAAGGGCGATCTATCCTCGTCCTCTTCCTCGACTGCAGTGCCGGACAGCTGCGCTTCAATATCCAGGAATGCTTGCTCTTCATCGAAGTTCTCACGAACCTTATGCCGCAGGGCTCTCAACAGCCGTACTCGCGTGTTCTTCACCTCTTTTTCTAGTCGCTGAATACAGGGAAGCAGGCCAGGCTTCTGAGTATCCTCGTACTGGGCACGCGCCTTGCTTAGCTTACAGCGGGCCTCTTCTAACTCTGGATGATCCTCAATCTGTGCTCTCTGCTGGTCGGTCAGATACCGTGGGCGTCGAGTGTCTCGCCAGCGACTTTGTCGTGAGACAGCCCGCATAAGTTCCACGTCTGGGTCGAGGCCACAGATAATCCGGATCATATCCGTGTCAACCCTTAGAGGATGATAATGTTCGAGAAAGGTTCGGGAGCTAGCGTGCTTCATGATCAACATATGTTGCTCCTTACTAACCCATCCTGCTAACGACGTCAGAGGTCAATAAAACCTTAGGACAGATAGAGCCACTCACCACTCTCATTGATTATTTTGCCACTGCCGTACCGGAATTGATGTGCATGAAACATGCCTAGCCACCCATGAATTTCCCCAAATATAACCAGGAGCCTTGACATCATTGCGTTTGTCATGGCTTGTTCCCATTGAGCAGTCGGAACGCCATCAACTAACTCGGTCTTACAAAAGACATACCAATCGGCCTTTGCTGGGTCGAAGGGTATCACTAGTTGTTCACATCGCTTCCTTATAAAAAGCTTACGCAGCTGAGCCTTCGATCTCAACCCGTTCCGAAATGCTCTGGCATAAAACAGGATCCCGAACAATAGTGTATGCGGACACAGCACTAATGACGGTCCGTAGATCACTTCGAGGAGACAAAATGTCGTTCTATTATATCAAAATTGTCAGTATAATCAACTTCGACTTTTCTAAGTAGGTAGATTTAGAGAGATAAAGTGTTTTAGCAGTGCCAGAGAAGGGGCAAAAGCAAAGACAGTCTTATTACAATTTCGTTATTCCAAGGAACTTTTTCGTCCCCTCGGGTGTTAGTTCGATATTGAGAATCGGGGGCCCACCATGGGGATCCTTCTGAAGAGAGATCTGCAGGTCTTTAAACTGCAGAGACAACAATGCATTCTGCCGGTGAACAGTGAACAGGGCCAGGGAGTTGAATAGGCACACCTGGATGCGTTGCAAGCCCAAGTAGAACTTTTTTTCCTGGGTGGACAGAATTGTCTCGTTTAACGGAGCGATATCTTCGATATAAACCGGTGTCTTCTTTCCAGGCTGAGTATCTAATCCGTTCTCGAAAACCAGATACCTAATGCCCTGCGAAGCACAACGTTAAGTAGGCTATTTAGCAGAAAGATTAGGAAAACAAAGTTTGTAACTAACCGCCAATATTTCTTTGCTATCCTGGTCGTTGATTTGAGTCTTTGTAAGCCTTTGGTAGTAAAGACGAAGATTCTTCCAGTCCGTCATCAACGAGCTAGCCTTGTGGATCTGTTTTAATTTCTGGCCATTCTTTCCTCGGTCGAGTTTGAGAGTCCACCCCAAGAATCGATACTTGTCATTGTTCGACGACCGACGCAGGGCATCCTCGGGTTTCTGCCATTTGGACTCATTGGGCTCTAGTTGTGCTTTGATGACACAGAACCTTGAACACTGTTAAATCTGTATAACCAACAGGGAATAAGAATAGAATTATACCGTTTCCAGCGGTCTTCAACCCGCTCACGCCCTTGGATGGTACCTTTCGCCTTATCGAAATCCTCGGGGATCCCAGAGAGGTCCACACCAGTATCATCAAGAGGATCATTGTAGAGTTCCCCTAGACCATCGTCCGCTGCTATTTTCTGGGTATAACAGCGTTTGTCTGCTCTGCGCTGTTTCTTCGCTGGTGGAGGAGAGCTAGGCTCGGTGAGATCTGTTTCGACAGTGGCATCTGAATGATCATCCGATTCACTACTACTCGTTACGCTGTCACTGGCACGACTGCTCTCTTTGTAAAGTTGACCACGTTGAGAGCAACGGCGCTTCATTCTTCACCTGTACTAATACAGAACGGTCAATGGCCACCGCCGACAGTGTATACCAGGAAGGTAATGCGGAATTTGGGCACAATCAAGAAATGAAGCAGGGACCCGGAACAGAGTAGGACGTATAGAATATACAATGGAAGACTATATAGATGATATGGCAGAGTAATGGGCAAAAAGGATCTTAGGGGTAAACAAAGGAAGTGCAAGACATGCGAGAGGTACTGAAGGCATTGTAGCTTTCCCGAGGCTTGAACACAATTAATAGGATATTGTAAGGCCTATATTGGTGTCCTTGGAAGGGAATGACTGGAGATGTGATGGTCAACATTAGAGTGGGTCTCTTTGAAACAATTACAAAGAGATACAATCGCTCGCGGTGGAGCCTCTGACCAGGGGTGTTCGTGGTGCGTGGTAGTAACGGAGCGGATCCGTGGTGGGAATCAACGGTCACGTGTTACCAAATGACAGCCGAAAATGGCAGCGAAGGTAGTCGAAAACGGCAGTCCCTTGGTAAACCGAAATTTTATAGTAGTAGAAATATTTTTTTTTTTTTAAAGATAAATTCTTTCTAGTAGTAGTAATTATAATATAATACTATATATTAATTAAAAAATTTAATATTAA